GGTATGTCTTATTCTGTTTTCTCCTGCCTCCCGGTCGCTCCTGGCGCATAGGATGGCGTCCTCTCGAGTGTTACGTTTGACGGTTAGGGCCGCCCGATCGACTTTAGTACGTGGCTTACCCATGCCCAACGCCACCTCAGGAGTCAGCATAAGGATGGCTTCAACCTCTTTGCTTACGCGCCTGACACTCTCCAGGCCCCTCCGCATCCTAGTTCCCTACCCACTAAGACTTCTCCCACCGCTGATCAGCAGCCTGATTACGATAGGTTGTGATTGTCTGGGATCTCGCGACGCCGCTACCTGCACGCCCTCACCGACCTTTCCCCACCGACCGAGGCCATCCACTTCTCCCAGTGCGACTCGGCAAAGAAACCTGTGTGACACTATTGTGCTCGCTATACCCTTCCTCAGCCTCCCTCAGCCGCCTCCTCATGCCCTTAGTGTTTTCTGACCTGGGCTCGTTCAAGACTGTCTCCGATCTTGTCACGAATCTCTGCTCTCTTGACGCTAGCTTTCGTGCTGCCTGCACCAAGGACCAGCTCAAACTTGCCCCCCGCCTATGTGGCTCACCCTTCACTGGTTTGTCACTCACCTCCTTCACCACCTCTCCTCTACCCACGAGGCGCTTCTCCTCAAGCACCTCAATGAGCTCACTATCAATCTCTTGAGTCCACCCTGAGGAAAGTAGAACGAGAATGAAATGACTATGGAATGCAAGTGATACAAATATGCAACCCTAGAAATGTGTACCCCATATGAGCTACCCCACTACAGCCTACAACAGATTATAATTTGACACACCCCCATAGGCAAAGTGGGGGAGAACAAGGGGTCACAAGACCAGTCAAGCAAAGCAAAGCAAAGCTCAGGGTGGATCACAAGGTCACCACACATTCCGAGCACAAGTTCAAGGCCAGAAGGCCAGTTCACATGCAGGAGCACATATATATATAAGAGGCTAAGCAAGCAAGAGCAAGAGTATATATATGTGACAGTACAAGCAAGGTCAAGAAGTGAGCAAGTGAGGCAAGACAGGCACAAGACCAAGCTGAGTACAGAAGCGCTGATGATCACAAGGCGCAAGCGCCTTGGTTAAAACATCAGCAGTGTTGGCCTCAGAGGCCACGTACGCAAGTCGCAACTGACCACGCTGCTGTAGCTCACGAGCAAGGAAGTAGCGGAGAGCAATGTGCTTTGTTCTGTGCTCCAGTCTCTGCTCTCGACACAAGGCCAGCATGGCCTTGTTGTCTACGTACAGGACTGGAGGAGAACGAGGCGGCTCTCCAAGATCGGTCAGAAGGTAGGTGAGCCAGCGAAGCTCCTGTGCAGCCATGGCCCCGGCGTAGATCTAGCCTCACAACTGGAGCCGAGAACAGAAGACGAGCGAGTAGCCCGCCACGAAACAGAGCCGGAACCAAGGCTGAAGGTGTAACCCTGTGACGACCGCTGCGTAGCCTGGTCGTCAGCCCAAGAAGCGTCCGCGTGCCCAGTGAGGACCACTGGACTCCGCCCTCCAAGCACTAGCCCCATGCCCGACGTACTGCACAAGTAGCGCAACACCCTCTTCGCTGCAGCCATGTGCTCTGGTCGGTGTCTCCCAGGAGCAACATAGCGTGCAAGAATGCTAAGAGGGTATGCAAGGTCAGGTCGTGTGCAGGTCATCAGGTACATGAGGCAACCAACAAGCTCTGGATACGGGCCACTCGACTCTACAGACTCATCCGAAGGCAGAGCTAAGAGTGAGTGGCGAGTAGGCAGAGGAGTGGCCTGAGGCGAGGAGTACGTGAAGCCGAAGCGCTGAAGGACCTGCTGCACCATGTGTGACCGAGTCAGGGTAATGGTGCGGCGTGCTCTGTCCCGGGTGATCTGCAAGCCAAGGTAGCTGCGCAGTTCACCCAGGTCAGTGCACGTGTGTCTCTTCTGCAGCTCATACTTCACGTAGGCGAGTCCAGCAGTGTCAGCTGTGGCAAAGACCAAGTCGTCAACGTACACGAGGATGTAGTACGGCGGCAGAGAGTTGTCGGTGCGCAGAAACAGCGACGGGTCGGTAGTAGAAGGAGCAAACCCAAGAGCCGCAAGTGTAGTCCTTCAGTGTGTCGTGCCACTCACGTGGTGCCTGGCGAAGACCGTAGACTGGACGCCGGAGACTCCACTGGGTACCAGGAGGGAAAGACCCAGTGAAGCCAGGTGGGCGGCGCAGCCAGATCTCCTCGTGCAGGCTGCCCTGCAAGAAAGCAGTGCTGAAGTCAAGAGAGTGCAGCTCGTAGTCACGGTGAGCAGCAACGTGCAGAAGTACCCGAAGAGTGGTCATCTTCGGGGTGGGGAGAAGGTCTGAAAGTAGTCAACTCCCTGTCGCTGACTGAAGCCACGAGCCACGTAACGCGCCTTGAAGACAGGCGGAGAACCCGGCGGCCGCTTCACCCTGAAGATCCACATGCCACTGACGATGTTCGCCCCAGGAGGGGGGACAGCGTCAACGTAGGTGCGTGTGGACTTCTAGGAAGCCATCTCTGCATCCATAGCTGCCTGCCACTGAGAGGAGTAGGGACCCTCTATCGACTCCGCGTAAGAGCGCGGAGTCGGGATGTCAAGTGCATCCGGGTCTCCCTCAGGGGTAAGCAGTACGGACACGAGATGAGGTGAAGCAGCGGCCAAGCACTGGAACTCCTCCTGCCTGTCCTCAAGGACGTCCGTGCCAAGGGCACACTCACCCCCGACGGACGGAGGACAGACAGACGCAGACTCAGCGATAAGACTAGCAGCGTAGTCTAGGCGACAGCGAGCAGCAAAGTCGACGAGCTCAGTGACGAGGGCAGACGCAACAGTAGACTCGAAAGAAGGGTCAGTGAGGACAGTAGCAAGGAGACGCGTGACAATAGGACTGGCAGCACAAAGAGAGTCCGACTCCGGGTCGGCAAGAGCAGGAAGAGAGGGCTCAGGAGGAGAAGGCAAAGGGGCACGCAGAGGAGCAGTAGACGGACGCAGAGACATCCGGTGCATGCCAGGGACAGGAGGAGGACGCTGACGCGAACCGCGACCACTACCGCGAGAGCATGAACAGGCGACGCAGGACGAGACGCAAGCTCACGACGCTCAGTAAGACCTCTAGTAGGACCACCGTAGGGAGAGGGAGCAGGCAAAGGGGAGGCAGGCTGTAGCTGTGACTGTGACGGGACAGGCTCGGGACCCTCTAAGGGAGGAGGAGGACTAGTAGAAGGTGGAAGACCAAGAACCTGCTGCAGGAGTGGAACGAAGTACGGTCGAGGCCGCGTGGCGACGCCAGTGCGCACGCTCGCATGTGCGCGCAGACGATTGGCCCGACTTGTCTCATTGGCCATCCGTCGGCTGTTGTCTGCGCTTGACGAGCCACATCGACTTTGAGATACCTGCCCGAAGTCGCCTTCGCCATCGCGACCTCGACGACGTTTGCGGTACCTCCAGCAGCTCCAGAACCTCCAGCAGCACCAGGAGCACCCCCAGCAGGACCGCCAGTGGTAGTCTCAGCACCAACACCCTCAGCAGTACCAGCTCCAGTCGAACCTGCAGGCCCAGCAGCTCGAGTACTCCCAGTACGAGCACCTCCGGGACCCGCGACAGCAGCACACTCAGTAGCCGAAGAACCTCCAGCACCAGCAGCACGGCTCCAGCGCCGGGCAAACCACTCGCGCAGCTCCAGCGGAGAGAGTGGCTCCCGGCGAGACGAAGCACCCGGAGAACCTCCAGGCGGAGCACCTCCAGGCTCAGCACCCCCAATCCCAGCACCCCCAGTCAAAGCACCTCTAGGCGTAGCACCCCCAGGCCCAGCACCCCCAGGCTCAGCACCCCCAGGCTGAGTACCCCCAGGCTCAGCACCCCCAGCCTCAGCACCCCCAGGCTAAGCACCCCTAGGCTCCGCACCCCCAGACCCAGCACCCCCAGGCTCAGCACCCCCAGGCTCAGCACCCCCAGTCTCAGCACCCCTAGGCTCAGCACCAGAGTCACCAGTGACCTCGACAGGCTCGACTGCGTCTACCTGGGAAACACCTAAAGGGGCAGGACCCTGAGGGGGGAGGGGGTCTACCGGGGGGGGACCTGGTACAAGGTAGAGCGGGGGCGGGGGGAGGGACGGAGTGTGGTAGGGGAAGAGGCGGTAGTAGGGGACCGACTCGTCTAACATGACGTCCTGGGAGGACAGAATACGGCGAGAGGTGGGGTGGTAAAACTGCCACCCAGGCGCGTCGGGGGGGAACTCCAGGAAGACGCAAGGAGCAGCGCGAGGGGACAGCTTGTCCGCAGACAAGTCGCGGACAAACGCCCGAGATCCCCAGACCCAGAACGCCGACGCATCGCCAACCTTCCCCGTACACAGCAGGGTTGGGGAGGTCTCCGGCCTGGAGACCCCGGGGTGAAGGTTGATCTGATGCACCGCGTACCTGACCGCAAACGGCCACAGAAAATGGGGGGCTGCCGCATGCATCATAGACGTACGAGCGACGTCCATGACCATGCCAATGCGGCGTTCAGCAATCCCATTTTGCTGCGGTGATTCCGGAAGCGTGAAGGTCTGACGGATGCCTCGTGCACGTCAGTAGGCTCGCAAAAGGCCAGAGGAGAACTCTCCGCCTCTGTCCGAGTGCAGACGCAGAACAGGAAAGTTCGAGCCAAAGCTCTGCCTGAGCTGGAGACGAGCTGCGCGGATCCAGTCGATCAGCACCTCAGTGACATCACCCTTGCTGCGCAAGGGGAAGACTGTGGTGTAACGCAAGTAATCGTCAACAACGAGCAGGAAGTAGCGCTCGTGACCCTGTCCACGGACGCGGGCTGGGCCCCACACGTCCATGTGAAGCGTCTGCAACGGGGCCTCTGTCGGAGGAAACTGGGAGGAGTGAGGGGCAGCACGCTGGTGCTCCTCGACACAGGGGACACAGGCAGGGCCAGGGCCATGAGGAAGGGGAGGGAGGGACCGGGGCAGCCCAGACACAAGAAGACGGGAGGCCATGCCTCTGAGCCGAAGCAGAGAGGGGTGACCAAGGCGGTGGTGCCAGAGGAGACTCTCGTGAGACAAGAGACGACACGAACAGGGGGCAGACTCAGGACCAGACCTGGACGCTGCAGCAAACACCTGACCCGACGCAGCTACCCTACTAGACTCAGCAACGGGAGGAGGCGCAAGGGTCAGTGTGTACAGGCTCGACCCCGGCTGACGGGTAAACGTAGCCAGGTGTCGGCCTGTGCTAGCCTCGGTGCAGTGCGTCACCCGCTGGCTCGCAGGAGTGAACTGGTGGACACCCGCATCCTGTAGGTCAGCACCACTCACCAGGTTCGTAGAGAACGAGGGGAGGTAGAGACCAGACAGGGTGCCAGAGGGAGCCGTCTGACACGGGAGGACTGTAGAGAAGCGAGACAGGACAGGGCCCCCAGAGGGGTCAGCCAGAGACACCGCAACCGGCCGACTAAGCGGCGTGAGTGTGGTGCGGTCCCGAAAGAAGGAGCGAGAAGGCCCAGAGTCAAGGGTGAAGGTGAGGGAGGCCAAAGCCGACGTAGTACCTGAGAGCGCAGACTCACCAGTACCTGAGGGCGCAGACGCACTGGCACCTAGAGCAGCAGCCTCACCAGCACCTAAAGCAGCAGTACCAATGCCCGGGTCGGGCGGGAAACACCGGTAATAGTCACAGCATACATGGCAGCAAGGATAGCATCAAAGTCAAGATCATAGATAGCTACGCCTGCCCTAGACAGCTCTCCCCAGCAGGGGATCTCACTGGCCTCCGGGAACTGCTGACGCCAAGCGTCCGTCAGGCGGCCAAAGCAGCGCTGGGTGGGGTGGGCACCCCCACACTGCTCACCCGCGCGGTCGCCGGTGCGAAGGACGTAGGTGCAGGGACCAATGCCCCCACCACGCTGACGTTGCGTGTACCACTCACGGAGCTGCTGAGGGTGGGGGATGTCCCGAGAACGCTGCTGCTGGCGCTGACCACCACCAGTGCTGCTCCGCTGCGAAGCACCACCCCGACCACCTACACCTCCTCGTCCACCGCCTCCTCCACCTCTGCCACCACCGCTGCCTCCGCTAGCACCGCCGCTGCCTCCGCCGCCTCCGCCTCCACTGCTGCCACCGACACCTCCACCCCCGCCACCACTCCCACCGCCACCCCCACTCCCTCCGCCGCCTCCACCGCCACCTCCACCGCCCCCGCTAGCTCCACCCGCACCCTTGCCCCCCTTGCCCTTGCCAGAGCGGCGTCTCCCGCTAGGGGCGGACGCCGCACCGACCGACTCAAGACCAACGAGGTCGGCCGCAGCGGCAGAGGCGACACCGGGCGGAAGGGGGGAAGAGAACACCCCTCAAAGATGGGGGTGCGAGGGTCACCACGAGAGGCTCCTACAGCGACGATGCTCTTCTCCGCTGCTAGGAGGGCCTTCTCTAAGAGGTCAACAGTGACAGTGGTGGGACAGACCGAGAGGAAGTGGTCCCTGACTACACGAAGGGATTCAGGGAGGCGGGTGACTATAAAATAGAGAGTGATATACATGGGGGGGGGGGTTCTTGGCGCAGAACTCAGCAGGAAGCGCCGTGCGGTAGCGAGTGTCACTAGTGCGGAGGTGCGTAATGAGGTCAGCGACTGTGGGAAAGGCAGCAAGGTCAGGGAAGAGGAAGGGTAGCATGAGGCGGCTCAGTGTAGCAGTGGCAGGGGAAGAGTAGCGCGCAACTACAGCGTCGTACAAGGTCTGAGCACTCTTGTACTGACTAAAGTGCGCGTGCTCAGCGGTAGGCAGGTGGCGACGCACAGCAAGACGTGCAGCAGCATCGCGCGTGGCCCACTGGGAGCAAACAGTGGGGTCAGCATCAGCAGCAGGGGCAAGAGAGGGGCCAGAGGTGAGGTCAAAGAGAGAGAGACCGTCTGCCCTATCGCACTGTAAGTACAGCTGCAGGTCGTCGACCCAGACCTCAAAGTCAATGGCGCGACCCTCAACGTCAAAGGCGAGGACACTAGGGGTAGCCATGACAACAGTAGACTAGCAGTACCAACTGTAGGATAGGGGCAGTGCAGTGACAGAAGCGCTGTTCTCACCATACAGGGTATTTCGGGCGGTTGAGCAGCACATCAAAAAACGGCAACACTGCTGCTCGGACGGCTCAGCCGCAACTACGGCTCGGCGGTACCAGCGGCTCAGCTCCTCAGGCGGCTCGGGCAACTCGGGCGGCTCGGCTCCTCAGCGGCTCGGGCGGCTCGGCTCCTCAGCGGCTCGGGCGGCTCGGGCGGCTCAGCAGGGTCGGGCAGCTCGGGCGGCTTAGGCGGCTCGGGCGGCTCGGCTCCTCAGCGGCTCAGGCGGCTGGGGCGGCTCGAGAGGAGCGGGCGGTGAGGGGCGGCGGGGCCGCAAGGTAGGTGGCGGGGCCGCAGTAGGAGAGGCGGCGGGTCCGCAGAGAAGGGCGGCGGGGCCGCAGCGAGAGAGGTGGCGGGGCCGCGACGAATGGCGGCGGGCCCGCAGTGGGAGAGGCGGCAGGGCCGCAGTGAAGGGCGGCGGAGCCGCTGAGAAGGGCGGCGGGGCCGCTGCGAGAGAGGCGGCGGGGCCGCAACGAAGGGCGGCGGGGCCTCAGTATGAGGCGGCGAGGCCGTAGCGAAGGGCGGGGGGCCGCTGAGAAGGGCGGCGGGGCCGCAGCGATAGAGGCGGCGGGGCCGAATCGACGGGCGGCGGGGCCGTCAGGGTGGCGGGGCCTAATCGACGGGCGGCGAGGCCGTTAGGGCGGCGGGGCCTAATCGACGGGTGGCGGGGCCACTAGGGCGATGGGGCCGCTAGGGCGTAGGGGCCGCTAGGGCGGCTCGACGAAGTGAGAGCCCGGAGCGCGAATCAGGCTGAGTGCGCTTCGGGCAGAAAAAAAAAATAACTCGATGTGGTGGGCCCTAGGCACAGTTCCCAGGGGGGAACCTGCTCGATACCATGAGGAAAGTAGAACGAGAATGAAATGACTATGGAATGCAAGTGATACAAATTTGCAACCCTAGAAATGTGTACCCCATATGAGCTACCCCACTACAGCCTACACAAGATTATAATTTGACACACCCTCACTAAGATCGAGTGCAACCTCCTTGTTGTTGACGCCGCCAATGCTGTAGTGCCTCCCCGTCTCTTTGAGGGGTGCGCTACACCCCAGCTTTCCATGTTCACTTCTTCTCTTGCCGTTACTGCGTTGTCTAGTTCTGAGGAGACTGGATCTGTTTTTATCGCTAGTGGGCAGAAACAGGGGCAAGGAAGGTAAGGGAGGAGGGAAGGGTGATGGCGGCGTATTGACGAGAATCGGGTATTGGCCCCGCCCTCGCTTGGGGGAAGCCGATCTTGTGGTCGGGTGCGGGAGGTGCGGCCGATCGTGCAGTTCGACAAGGTGGTTAACCTGCAAGCGACTGTTGCATTACGGCCGTCGATGGGAGCCAGTTGTCTATTTCGAAGGGGAGTTCGTTGAAGCAATTCGTCGACCTGCATGGGACTTTTGAGAGGCCGTCGAAGATGGGAGTTCGATGGCTTTTGTTGACCGAGTTGGTCGTCGGACGTCAACCAGGGTGTTCTTCGATGGAAGAAGTGGTCGACAAGAGAGGTCGTCGACCAGGGTGTCGGATGGTCGACCCAGTCGACCAGGTAACCCGCTCGGCAAGGTTCTACGGAGGCATGCAAGCGTCGTCGATGCTGCGATGGCGAAGGTGACTTCGGGCTGGTATCCCGAGGTCGATGTGGCTAATCAGGCGCAGAGAACAGCCAACGGACACGTGATGGTGCACATCGGGCCAACAGTCCGCAGGCACTTGCAAAGTAGGTGCGCGCGTGTGCACTGCTGTCATCTGCGGGTGCAACATTGGACAGCCGCTTTGCTGCAGCATTGGCGCGCCATCGACTTGCTCAGTTGGGAAGCCGCCTTTTGGCAGCGCAGGCGCAAATCATCTACGCAACGCTGACAGGCTGTCAACCTTGCTGTGCACCCCGGCAACCCAGGTGACAGGCGACCCAGGTGACTGGCGGACATGATCTTGGTCACCCCGCCGCTCGTTGGTCGACAAGACATACTCACCTGGAAGGAAGCCATCGAGCCCCAGCTGGAGATGGCCGGATTGATCAACTTTGCTCGAGGTACTGTGGCGGCGCCAGACGACCCCGACTTATGTGCGGAGTTCCGCGCAGTGCAACTGTTAATCTTCATGGTCATCTCGCGATGCTGCTCGCCGGGCGTGCAGATCGCCTTGAAGTGGTGTCTGGAGTACCTCGACGCCGGCCACCAGGCGTGGCACTTCATTAAGTCGACCTACCTAGTCACCAACGACCTGTTCATCGCCCAGCTGGAGGGAGAGCTGACACACCTGCGTATGGGCGACGAGGAGACGGCGACCGACTACTACAACCAGGCCAGGCGAATTCTCGCCACCATCAGGATGGCCGGCGCGCAGTACTCGACGGCATCGTCCGTCACCCACGTCATGCAGGGACTTTTGAGCAATCACAACCTCCTAAAGCGGTCAATGGCGCCGAGCACAAGGACGACACTCAACGAGGACAACTTGACCTCGTACATCCTTGAGGACGAGGCGATGCAGGAGGCGGAGCGGTCTCAGGAGCTCTTAGCGCAGGCAAACTTCAGCACGGACAGTCTGGCGAAACAAGGAGGCCGACCGGGGCAGCACAAACAGTCTGGCGGCGGTGGTAGCAGTGGCTGGAAGCCGACCAAGGAAGTCGACAAGAAGAAGTCGACCAAGGACAACGGTCGAAGAGGAGGAGGTCGACGTCGGGAGTGCTAGCTGTGCGGCAACCCTGACCACCTCTCCTTCGAGTGGCCCGACCGCACTGACTCCGACGACGACGACGCCAAAGGAGACGAAGTCGACCAAGTCGACCTCGGCGAAGGACGCCGACTCCTCTGCTGGCGGCAAGGGGCGAGACGACAAGGAGGCGTCGTGCTCGCTGATCGGCGTCGTGGAGCCGACCGTCTCGATGGCGCCGGAGGCTGGCGAGGACTTCCAGGCAGTGGCGGCAGCTGTGCAGGCGAACCTGTCGGTGGTCCTGCTTGACAGCGGCTGCTCCCACCATCTGATGGGGATGAAAGAGGCCTTCGACGACTTGGGGCCAAGTGGCAACGTGAAACACGTGCGCGGCTTCAATGGGGCGTTGCAGGACGTCCAGGGCCGCGGCACTGTCACTCTGCAAGGGGAGACCGGAAACAGGTGCTCATCCCCGACGTGCTCTACGTTCCGGGCGTGCGAGCGAATCTGCTGTCGGCTGGCCAGCTGAAGGAGAATGGCGTGAAGCTGCAGGAGGATGGCGACGGGATGTTGCTCATCTCGGTAGCTCCAAAGGTGCTCGGTCGGGCGACGTACTCCGGGCGTGTCCTCTGCACCGACTTGCGTCCCTGCTCAACGAGGTCGACGTCGCCTACGCCGAAGGTTGTGGCCCTGCGGGCAATTGCCTCGAAGACGAAGTCGACGCCAGACAGGATGCATGTAAGGCTTGCGCACGTCCGCATGGACACCATACCGAGCTTAGCAAAGCACGGGGTCGCTACTGGGCTAGACCTCAAGTCGACGACGGGCGCCGACTCACCGTGTGTCTCGTGCGTCGGCGGGAAGCTGCCATGGCACACCTTCCCCAACCAAGGCTCCGACGCCGACGATGTGCTGGCCGTCGTGCACATCGACCTGTGCGGGCCGTTCCGCGTGGCTGCCAAGCACGGCAACTTGTACTTCTTGCTGCTGAAGGACCGCAAGACCCGCTACGTATGGGTGAGGCCGGTCGCCAAGAAGTTGGATGTGCTGCTGGAGTTCCAGAAGTGGCTGGTGTTGGTGAAGAGGCAAGTGAAGAAGTCGGTGCTGATGCTGCGCTCAGACCGGGGAGGGGAGTTCCTTGGGAAGAAGTTCACCAACTTCGTGGACGGAAAGGGGATCGTCCACGGCCGAACCTGCCCGTACACCCCACAGCAGAACAGCATGGCGGAGCGGGAGATGAGGACGGTGGTAGAGTCGGTGCGAACGATGCTGCTGCACATGGGCGTGCAGCACCACTGGTCCACAACTGCCTTGAGAGGTTGACGCTGCCGCCGAGGACAACGCCGTACCAGCTGCTCACCAGGCAGAAGCCCGACCTGTCACTGGCACAGGTGTAGGGCTGCATGGCACGGTTCCTAGTCCCCGAGCAGCAGCGTGGTGGGAAGCTGCAGCCGAAGGCCAGGTGGGGCCTTCACCTCGGTGTGTCGACGGAGAGCAAGGGCTGGGAGCTCCTCGACATCGACGCCAACCGGGTGGTCACCACGTCGGACGTGGTGTTCTACGAGGATTTGATGCTGAAGGTGTGGAAGTCGGAGCACGGGCCAGCGTCGGGCGGGGCGCCGACCACCCCGCCGACCGATACCTCGACGGCGACGCTGCCTTTGCTCGCCAAGGTCGGTGAGCTTGCTGATGCGGACGATGAGGTCGGCCCCTCCTTCATCGACCACCAGGTCAGGTCGACCACCAGCAAGTCGACCAGCAGGTCTGGTCGACCAACCGCCAGGTCGACCAGCAGTCCTATCAGCCGACCACCCAAGTCGGCTACCCCCAAGTTGGCGTCACCAAGTTGACGCCCTCCGCAGGTCAACTTCCTAGGTCGACCTCCCTGAAGTCGGCGCCACCCTAAAGTCGGCGCATAGTGGGGTAGCCCATAAGGGGTACAACCCAAATAGGGTTAGTACTTGTACCAAACTCTTTCATAGTTCATTCATTCTCGTTGATTCTCACATGGTATCAGAGCAGGTTCCCCTGTGGGAACTGTTCCAAGGGCCCACCGATTCGATTTTTTTTTCCTGCCCGGAGCGCGCTCAGCCCCTGCCTGAGTTGCGCTCCCCTCTCTTGACCCGGTCGCGCCGCCTTAGCGGCCCCGTCGCGTCGCCCTCGCGGCCCCATCCCGTCTCGCCGCCCTAGCGGCTGCGTCGCGCCGCCCTCGCGGCCCCGTCGCCTACTCCTGCGGCCCGGGCGCCGCCCTTCCCGGCC